ATATCACTAAGCATGAAACCTTACAGTTAGCTCCTTCCTTGCCTGCATGTGAGAATAGCTCTGTTCACAGTACGTGCTGAGGTATTACTTGATATGACTTTGGGGGTTTATGTGATTGATTTCCACTTTGGAACTTTGTTCCATCCTGGCAGCACGGGTGCTAGTCTGTTGTTTTATTTCAGTCTATGTATGAGGGTGAAGGTGACTACTGGCAGTAGTATCAGCAGGGGCATCAAAGGAGCAGCAATAGCCTGTGAGCAGCAAAAGCCTGCTCCTCACAAGCTGCAGCTCCACTGGAGAGATACCACTTACAGGAGGGTCAAGGGGTATGCTGGCCGAGAGCTTCTTTGGCATGTTTAGCTTTTCATGTCAGGTGGTAGGAGACAATTGCAACCTGTGACAGTCACCACTGCCCTAAACCTCTTTGCCTTGGAACCTACCAGGCTTTACCTGAGACATTTACAGTTTAGCAGCCACAAAATCCACCAGCCAAGTGACTGTTTGCTATTTTGCCAATAAGGTAGAACTCTTCTGCAATTACGTCAATCAGAACAATTGGTTTTCAACTCTCCCTGACTTCCTATGGGTGCAGGGTCGCATTAACTGCCTCAGATAGCAATCAAGACACCTGTAAATCACACAGGAGTATTCATCAACTGCAATGTACAGCTGATGTGTGATCACAAAATATATTTTATCCAGATGTTTGGGTGTCTGCAATGTTACCTTTGACCTGCAATAGTCCAACCTCCTTGAACACTTTACATCAAGGAACAGAGACATCATCTGGCTGCTCAGAGTCAAGAATGACCCACTTAAAATGTGCTCAATGACACTAGCGAGGAACTGAACCAAGGCACCCAGGAATGGTGCAATGAAAGTGCCGTTGAGGAAGTGATTGATGTGCTACAAGATAAATTTTAAGTGGCTTAGGAAATCCAGGGCATCCTTCAGTAAGCGTCAGTCAAGGTCTTCAGAATAGCTTAATGTCCCCTGCGTGATGTATTTCAAAAGCTGCAATGTTTGGCCCTGCAGGAGGACCAAGGCACAGAGTACAGAACATTGTCTGAGCAGAGTGCTTCAGATGTCTTTGCTTTTTTGAGTTTTACCTGGGTTTCATCAGTACATCTATCTGACAGCTACATGCAAAAGTTGCTCTCCACACACAATGCCCACCAATCCCACACCTCCACTACTCTCCCACACAAAGCAGTACAACAAATAATCAAGATCGTTTTAACATAGAAACATAGAAGATAGGAGCAGGAGGAGGCTATTTGGCCCTTCAAGCCTGCTCTGCCATTCTTCACAATCATGGCTGATCATCCAACTCAATAGCCTAATCCTGCTTTCTCCCAATTAACTTTGATCCCATTTGCCCCAAGTGCTACATTTAGCCACCTCTTGAATACATTCAATGTTTTGGTATCAACTACTTCCTGTCGTAATGAATTCCACAGGCTCACTACTCTGGGTGAAGAAATATCTCCTCATCTCCGTCCCAAATGGTCTACCCCAAATCCTCAGACTGTGACCCCTGGTTCTGGACATATCCACCATCGGGAACATATTCCCTGCATCTACCCTGTCTAGTCCTGTTAGACTTTTATAAGTCTCCATGAGATTCCCCCTCATTTGTCTGAACTCCAGCGAAAATAATTGTAACCTAGTCGATCTCTCCTCATACATCAGTTATGCCATCCCCAGAATCAGCTGGTAAACCTTCGCTGCTCTCCCTCCAGGTACCCATTGCTTAGCACCAATTCATATCTTACCATTCATGACAAGTTAAAAGGCCACATGTTAGGCAACAACTAAAGATGTGTGACACAGGAACAAAGTAGAAAGAAATTATACTTGTGGGTCTCAACAAAAACAATTTAACCATCTAACCTTGTGCAACTGCTGATCTTTATTTTTGCTTTCCATCGCACTTTTATTTTAATCTCTATTAATAGAGATAGAGGAAGACCTCTCAGGTCACTGATCTGGCTGTTGAATTGCTTCTGGTTATTGTCTTCTTGGTACCAGAGCCTGTGAAAACTTCTTCAAAGACCGTTCGACCTGCACTCATGATATCAGGGGCTGAATTGGCCAATAGTACATCAGGTCAATTGGTTTCTGTCTGGGGTGATGGAAGGAAGGGGTAATGTATGAGAAGTTGAAGCATTTGGAGCTGAGCCCTTTTTTACAATCATCCCTTTCAAGGCTGACCCTCATTTCCCACCAGCTGTGAGTTGAAGCATGCATTTCTGCAGATCAATGGAGCAATGAACAATTAGGATATTGCTCATCTCAGTTAAGACAGCAATTATATAAGCAGGTGATTGTTGATGTTTTGTATGCACTTATTTGTTTGCCACATCTGGTGCTGCATACAGAGTACCACTCTTTCCATGGACAAAGATGATATCACAAAAGTCTGCAATGTCATGGCATTCGTACTTGAGAACAACTCCCTGAATCTCTTTGCAATCATGTATAATACGACTGGTACATAATACGTAAATTGTACATTCCGTGCTGATCTATAGAAGTGTCACGTTTGTTGATGGAACACAACATACAGCATCTGTGCTTAGCTGAGCAAAACATGAATGCTGTAGACTCTGACATGGACACTCCATTGCTCTGTCTGTCATCGCCATCTGCTCTTGCTCACTTGCGATGCTAAGTCTGCAGGTGTACACAAAACTATCTGACTTATGTGTTCCACTGAAGGAGTCGGTGCATAGTTTGCATGAATCCTATGATGGTGCATCCTTCTAGAATACCTACAATGAGTGGCTTGAAGGCCCTCTGGGAGATTAAAGATCGAGATTAGAATGCTTTGAGTAATCATGTTCCATTCACTCATGGCATCAAGTCAACATGAGAGAGTGTTATATGTCATGTCGCTGTGTCATATTTTTTTCTGTCACCACGTCGGCTGGGAGACTCTCATTATTTCTGTCAGCCAGGCATGGTGAGACTCCGCTGATACCCAGTATCACCTCTGAACTTACTTTGCCTGCCTTCCTCAGGCATTACACCATGCTTGGCATTGAATCCATGTGCATGGCACCATAGTTCCGTGCTGACTTTGTGGGCAATCTCCACCCACAACTCATTTGTTTTGTTATCAGGCTTCTTTCTTCCTCCCATTAGCACACAGCATCACAACCCAAGGAGGTGCCACTGAAAAAGTGCGCAGTCCTTGAACACATATATTTCATTCTGTTCTGCTCCCAACTCCCAGCTCAAATTTCATATTTGGAACAGACCTTTACATTATAATGACTAATGCAAGTTGTCACCATGCCTGTTCAAGGGAATCAGTCAGGAACTCCGGAAATGCAAATGATCGGGACAATAAATTATTGACAGATACCCTATTGGATCCACACCCCATTTCCCAAATTCATGCCCCACCCCTAGCTTCCATGTGTAAATAAAGTGTTGCCTATTGAATGATATGACTTATTTAACAATTTTCTGTCAACTTGACATTTTCTAACCTTGAAATACTGCGTGTTCACCATTTTTAATTAGAAACTTGTCCTATTGAAAAATCTTTCATGAAGAAGAAATAACAGACAAATTGTTATTTATTTAATGGTATTCTGCCAACACTTTGATAAAGGGAAATCCTACGAGAATGAAAATTCCTTTCTGATACTTCTGATGCCTCATGTTGCTGATGACTGACCAGCAGTGTGTAAAAACAATTAGCTTTTCTAGACTTACAGATGTTTGTAAAACATTGTGTGTGAACAATCTTCAATCTTTGTCAACTGTTCATTTGATCTGGGCAAATAGAGATACGCAAGAGAGCAACATGATAAATGAATGGGATAGAGTTCTGTTGTATGTTGGATTTTATCATAAGGCTCATCCTGCAAGGGTTTACAAACTGGCTAAAGGTGAAATGTGCCTTCTGTCACACAATTTAAACATGAATTCTGAACTTTTCACAATTAAGAGTTTTAGATGTGTTGTTATAATGTAAGCTTGAGATGGTTTTGGTTGGAGAATACCACAGAGCAGAAAGTGCCTAAATGATCTACATGCTGTGCAATACTTTATAAATACTCGTCACATTTCTTTAAAATATTGGTGGACCATTCCATATGCAAAGCAAATTGTTTTTAAGTTGAAAAGATCCTCACAGGACCAGGGACCTGAGTTTGATTCCACTCTCTGGCGACTGTCTGTGTGGAGTTTACGCATTCTCCCTGTGTCTGCGTGGGTTTCCTTCGGGTGGTCTGGTTTCCTCCCACAGTCCAAAGATGTGCAGGGTAGGTGGATTGGCCGTGCTAAATTGCTCGTAGTGTTCAGGGATGTGCAGGTGAGGTGGACTATCAATGGGAAATGTAGGATTACTGGGATAGTGTAGGGGGCTGGGATAGGATAGAGGAGTGCGTCTGGGTGGGATGTTCTTCAGAGGGTTTGTGTGAACTCGGTGTACCGAATGGCCTGCTTCTACACTGTTGGGATTCTATGATTCAATGATCTACATGCTGCACCATACTTTATAAATACTACGTACTGCTCTTAAAAATATCGGGGGACTGTTCCGTATGCTCTGCAGTAACATTAAAATATTTAAAATTAAGTTGAAAAGAAAAGCTACATTTATGCTTTAGCTACAGGTTTAGCAAAGTGGTGGCAGACTATCTGCTCAAGGTGGTGTTGGTGCACTGGCCAAAACAGCTGCAGTATTGTATTGATGTCTCCACTGCAGAGTTACACAATAGTGCTTGAGAATGCAACATAACAATTGGTTCCCACTAACTCCTGGATTATAGTACACATGCAACAATGTGTTATGGACATAATTCATATGTACAGCCGTTAGATTAAACTTTTGTTTCTCCTTGTTACAGACACTTTATATGATTAACTTTAACATTATTTATGTTTATATTAATGTAGAAATGGTAATGATGCTTACTGGTAAATTACATCTAACTATTATGTACATAGTCAAAAGAGATCTGCATTTTTGCAGAATAACTTACATTTCAGCTCAAGCCTTATAAAGTCTGTATTGCCCAAGTTTTCGAGGAATACTCCATAAGGAACAGAGGTCTTGAAGTAAAATGAGATGTCAGCACTGGTCTCTCCATGGAAAGTTGAGAAGTGCAGATAGGATGAAGGTGTATTGAATGAGGCAGCATTCCAATAGTTTCCTAATAGAGATGGAGAGAGAGGGAAAAATAACAGTAACTGATTCGACAAGTTGCCTTGAATAATAAGTGATGCAGTGATGGAACAGCTGGTGCACTGATAAAACGTCAAAGCTTTCCAAAATCTCATCAGTTATGATACAAAAAGAACATTACTTGCTCAGGAGAAATTAACCTTATGCTTAGTCATTCATCCTGTCATTTTTATAGCACAGGCACACAATGCTTGGTGGGGATTGCTGTCACTTACAATAAACACACAGTGGTTACTTTCTATAGATTGTAGCTCTAGTGAGTCACTGGAGACTGGAAAGTTTAAGGATTTAAACTATTTGACAGGTGGTTCACTCTCAGAAACAATTTAGTTGATTTAAGCGCTGACATATGACAAGGTCTGCTGCTGTCATCACATTTGCACAACAAGGTTTGTGCATGGTAAGAAAGAAAAGTATTAAGATTTAAAGTGAATTATTTGCATGGGGCAGCCAGAAAATCTTGAAAAGCATCTGATCAAACAGAATGATATTTATTCAGAGGGATCTTACGTTGGAGTCAGAATAAACATTGGTAGTGATATGGAGACTGATAATGAACAACTCAAATAATTGGCCCATTATATTTCTTTTATTCACTGTAGCCAAGAACTTCAACTCAGAAAAAAATATTTTTACTTAGCCTGTTTGAACAGATTATGACACACCACTGGTGCAGCTGGAGCTTGAGAAGGATCTTCTCGCTACAGGTTATGGCACTACCACTGTGCCACGAGACCCAACAACTTCAACTTAGATGTTCCAAGGATGGCAGGAAATGTAACTCTGAGGGATGACTTTAGGGCTATTAATTTGGGGAGAGTGATGTAATAATTAAATACAGAATTTCTAAAAGATCTGTCTTCTGGTATCATGTGTAAATTATCACACTTCCATTATGACCCAAGACAGTAATGTCACTTGACAATGCAGAATCGTCCTTAAAGCAAAGCATGCACGCAGATGTATATTTTCCATTTGAAGTTATCAAAGAATATTAAACAACAGCTGCAAACCTAACTGAAGTCAGCTACATAGCACATAACTCTGACTTGTTTGGCATAACACATCAAAGAATTTATTAACAAATCACAAAATCACTCATTAACATTTTCAATTAAAATTATATCGACTTCAACCAAAAAAAGGACAAATTTTATTAATGATTATCTAAGCATGTGAACCCAAGGGTGGACCAACATTAGCTATCTTGACTGGTTTTCCATTAAACCTTTCCAATTTCACTCAGTAAAACCGAAAGAACTGTGGATGCTATAAATCAGGCACAAAAACAGAAGTTGCTGGAAAAACTCAGCAGGTCTGGCAGCATCCGTGAAGAGAAATCAGAGTTAACATTTGGGGTCCGGTGACCCTTCCTCACAACTGGGTTAATCAGTATCTTCGAATCAACCGGGAAAAGCAAACTATTTTGGGCAATCCTATTTGGTTTTATTCCGTCTTTTTTTAAAAAAAGTAACTTGTTCAGGCATGTTATGACACATCTCTGGAGCCGAGGGGACTTGAACCAAGACCTCCTTGCCCAGAGGTAGGGCCACTATCATATCACCATAAAAAAAATTGCAACTGATTTTAACTCTGTACAAGTGGAAAGGTCTTGAATGAATGAAAATTTTGTCCAATTTGTGGCATCTACAAATTTTCAACCAATGGTAAAGTTACTTTGAAAAACATGTTAAACAGTCAAAACTCCAACTTCTGTTTACAGTTGCAACAAATAATTGAAGAAGCTTAATTAAACAGATCTCAACAAAAAAAGTTCAGTAGGGGTTTTAGAGAAGTGCAGTTTGGCAATTAAAACATGATGGATAGATTTGAAACTGATTAACTCATCAACTGTCACAAGTCGAAGCTTTTACTGTAATGATGGCTATTATGAATTTGGAATGGAAATTATTAGTAATCCAGCTGACATTAACATAACATTTCAAGAGATCTTTAAAAGTCTGCATTAATTAAAAGTAATCATGTCAGATCAAAAGTATGCAGATTAAAAAAAAATCACTTTTCAAAGCTCCAAACAGAATGGGCCAGATATTACAGCCAACAATTAGGTATCTGATAGTTCAGCTGATTAAAAAAAAGCAGTCCCAAAGTGCTGGGTCACTTGAGCCATTAGAAACCCAATTTATTAGTGAGAGGGCCTATGCCTACACCACACTTGGTTGACCCAGCACAGCTAGCATAGAAAGGGCTTATCGAGTGCAGCAGAGAGGATGTACGTCCATATTTTCAACACTCCACAAAGTTCAGAAAGATTGCAGAAATTACTCAAATTAAGCTTGAAGGTCTGAAACATCAATATTCCTCTTTCCATTTTTCCAACAGCTAATTCCTCAGTGGGGCTATAATCTATCACCATATTAAAAACAACAACAACATAAAACTAAGTAATCAGCAACTGGTTAATTATACTGCTTTCCAAAGTCTATAGAGCTCCTGATGCAACATGCATCATACATCAATTAAAGATTGATGTGAACTAACTCTATTATTTTATCAGAGAGAGTAAGAACTGCTGATGCTGGAGTCAGAGATATTATTTTATGTTGGCTTATTTCATGACCAGCACCATATTATCAGTACATAACTCCCGAACAAAATTAATATTATCAAGTTCCTAGTTTTAAATTATCACTGAATAAACTGGCTGTGATTCAGAATTTTAAAGCATCTTCTCCCAACTTTTTATTCTATTGAATTTTACATGCTATACCTTATATTTCACACACCTTCTGATTCTGTTTGATTACACACAAATTCCATGAATTTTTTTGTTGTTCATTCATGGGAAGAGGACATCACTGGCTTGGCCAACATTTATTGCCCATCCTTAATTGCTCAGAGGGCAGTTAAGAGTCAACCACATTGCTGTGGGTCAGGGGTCACATGTAGATCAGACCAGGTAAGGACAGCAGTTTCCTTCCTAAGAGGACAGATGGGTTTTTCTGACAATTGACAATGGTTTCATGCCCATCATTATACTCAATTCCAGATTTTAATTTAATTTAAATTCCATTATCTGCTGTGGTGGGATTTGAAGCTGGGTCCCTGGAACATTACCTGTGCCTTTGAATTACCAGTCCAGCAATAGTATCACAAGGCTGTTGCCTCCCCCAAAAGTAGATGAGAAACCTGCTTCATGTGTCTGTAAGAGCTGATTTTGAGTTATATATTTTGAGGTAAATGAGAACGAACTTTTGATTTTTCTTCCATCCCTAAAGATGACATCGTCTCCATTCCAAACAATAACAGGTTCTGTAACTAGAAAAGTGACTCTTCATTTACTTTGATTAAATAGAACAGTGTCATCAGAAATGTTTGACAAACTCTGGGCAGAATCTTTTGACCTCTGTGATAAAAGTTTACAAAATGTTATTATCAGGAAACTTATGCTCTAAAGTTGAGGAAAATGTTTTTCGTTCATTTTCAAATCTGTGAAGCCACCAGAAATAAATATGGAAGCATAAAATGAAAAGAAAATCAAATGGATAATTTAGAAAATTAGCAAATGGGAATTTGGCTGTGATTCAATTTCTAGGTTCGGTTGTCTGATTTTTCCTAAATATAGCAAGAGCAGCAAACTACAAAATACTCTTTTAATGCCTTAGCAGTGCCTCCTTGTGTAACTCCCTTTTTTGATCATTAATTTATCTTTGAACCATACTTTTGCTATTTATATGTATATAAAAAACTTTTATTATAGCTGCTAGACTTATTTCATATGTCCTTTTCATTTTACATTTTTGCTTCACCTCCCCTCACTTCTATATTCAACTTGTTTTCTTTTTGTATTTTCTGCCTAACACCTGCCATAAATACACCTGTTTCTTTTGCATCTTAATTTCCATTTCCTTTGTCATCCAGAGTTCTCTGGATTTGTTCACACTAACGTTCCTTTTCAAGGGAACTTTATTATTGTCAAGTGAGGAGGGGGATTGGCTACTGTCTATTTTCATACCTGCCTATAAATTCCTTGTAACTTTGTTCATTTACATACTAGGAACTACTTAGTGGTCCATCGACTACACCACAGAATACAATTGCAACATCATTGTTTCTTTGCTTTAGCCAGATAGATTTCATCCTTGATACCTCTGGAACATTCTATTTTTCCAGCACTGAAATGTATCCTTAATCAACGCAGCTACTCCTCCTTCTTCTCTTCCTTTCTTATCTTTCCTGAATATCTTGTATCTATTAATACTTAACCCTAGTCCCAATTGCTTTGAGTCAGGTCTCTCTCACAGCCACAACGTCATAATTCCACATGGCAATCTGCACCAGCTGCTCATCAATCTTATTTGCCACGTTCTAGAAACCCTGATTTAAATGTTATTACTTTCTCTTTCATTCTGACCTCACCTATTGACTTATTGCTCCTTAATGTGGTGCTGTATCTCTCGTAGTGTCTTCTCCACCTCGGTATTCATCATCTTATGTGTCTAATGACTACGGTTAAGGTGGTGAACCAGAGGAATGAGAGTAGAAAATAGCATGCTTTAATTTCACTTGCCTTTCAGAAATAAACATACATTTTTCATCCTCCTCAAATAAAAACATGCTTAAAACCTTGACAAAAGTAAGAGATGGATCCTGGGAGAGACTGAAGGGAAGGTTAAAGAAAGGAGTTAAAAGCTGTTGAAGGCAGTGAAAAAATAGATACATTGATTTGTGTACAAAACTGACAAACCAGTGAAGACAATGTAGGTAATTGTCCTAGCCATCTCCAGATGTAAATCCAAATCCAAGTTACAAAGGGGATTTTTTCTTTTACAATTTGTTTGTGTACCTTGATTTCCCAGGGTACAACCTAGAATGACACAAATTAATCTGACTCATTTGTAGTTATGCGCAACTCAATTTAACAAGCCAATGAATGATTGTAGAAACATCATTATGGCACTGTTAGACGACTAATACATTCAACATATTACAGTCTCACAGTTTAAA